AAGAAGTGCTGAGCATTTCAGCTATAACCACAGAAGCCATTTCTCTTGGTAACCTTTACCTTCCCTGCAAGCGTTCATAGGCAAGATGCATAGGGATGCAGCACCGCTGGTAATAGAAAAACGAACCCATTTGGTAAGCCTTACTTAGATGTCAGAGTACTTTGAATTTTGAAGCTGAAATAAACAGACCAAAATGACCCCATAGTTTATAATGCACTGGTAAAACAAAGTAGGACTTTACCACTGAGGCCCCAGTGTCAGAACTTAATTTGATTTTCTCTGATGACTCAACTTATTTCACAAGCTATTTTCATATTCCTTATTTAGCGAACTTACTCATGTCTCAGTAAAAGCCTATGATGTGATAAAGCCAAGGAACCGTAACGTGTGGTACTGGTAACACCTCCCACGCCAAAAAAAAAATCCTACTTCCGTATTTATGTGGGTCTGCAAATTGGTTCTTGCCTTTTTTTCCCCAGAGAGTGAGCTGGCAGCACGTCTCCTCTCCAATTAGCATGAAGCCGTGAAAAGTGGAGATGGAGGGTCAAATTCACAATGCCTGAAGCCTCACTAACTTTTGCCATGTTACAGGCACATTTGGAATTCCCAGCAAGGCAAGTGTTTTTAGCATACAAATAAAAACGCCTGCAGAATACCTTGTTCATTCACGCTTTGTCTCCTGAAAAAAGAAGCTAAGAAGAGCTACCTACCTTGTGTGGGGATGGCATCCTACCCAGGGATGGGCACCTCAGCATAAACTCCCCATGGAGCAGATGAATTTTACCTGAGTTTTACTGGTCAGGATGTAATTTCTGCCTTTTGGAAAGTCCTTTAATCAGAGAAGCAGGAGAAGCCTTTGTAACCAGCATAGGCTGTAAATCACACCAGCAAATGTATGGACTAGAAGAACACATAGGGACACTTAAGAATAACACCCACCCATCCACCCCCACCTCCGATCTCTTCACAATCTGATTTGCAACCATGTAAAGACATATATTTCTTGTGGCAGTTTTTTTGAAGAGTTTGTTTGTCTTAGAGGCAGAAATGAAAGGCAGCCTGTGCAAAGCAGAGCCAGGGGCTGAGCAACAGCACTCACATGACTGCTCTTTGCAAGCCTAAAAGCAAGGGACCAAAAGCTACGTGGTACAAGCCCTCTTCAGTGCCACACCAGGATCTGAAACAGCTCCTGAGTGACACCAAGGAGTCCAGGACATAAGTGTCCACGAGTCCATGTCCTGGCGTGACATAAGGAGTCCGGGAGTGTAATGGAGAGAGAGGCTCACATCCCAGGGCAGCCCTGAACCAGCACTTCCATGGGCAGCAGAACCTGCAAAATCCCCTTTTCTGTGACATTTCCTCTCATCTTCTTTGGGTTCAGGTATCATAAGGGATAAGCTCTAATCAAAGTTTTGCCTAAGGGTACAGCATTCCTGGCATCTTTCCCTCACTTGCATTTTCTGATGTCTGAAAGCATCGTGCTATAGACTTCCCCTTGCTGTTACAGCTACATAGGTCTCTACTTTCCATCAGAACTTCGTTTTTGAGATCCCTACTCCTCTACCAAGCCCAGCTGGCAGATGGACACAGGCACATTGAACCAGCCAGTTCAGCCCCACCACTGTCAGCCCCCATCCTTCAGCTCTGACATTACCCATACACCTGCCTGATCTGAACTTCCATCCCTAGGAGTGAGCTACCCAAAACCAAGCCCATCTGGGCAATAAAAGCCCCCTAAACCTTCCATCCTACCCAATCTGGTGAATTTGCTCAGCACACAAGCAACAAAACACTGTCAGAGCTGTTCTTTTCCCTAAGCATGGAGGTAGCTGTTGTGTGCTGGCATCTGGAAGCAGAGAACCAGGGTTCCTGCCCTGCCCATGCAGGTTCAAACTCACACATCCCATCTCTCAGGTAAACATCCTGATTTGTCACACTCACCTTCGCACATTGGCGCTTGGGTCCTCAGCTCCTCCCCGCCCATGGGAGCAGCATGGCCAGGGAGGGAGAGAGCACGCTCTCTCACCCCAGAGCCCTGCAGTCAGATGGCTGTGACGTCCCCTCAGAAAGGTGGGATCTGCCAAGCTGGCCAAGGGAGGAGCTGAGCTGGGGGCAGAGGTCTTACATTAGCACTGAAACAGCGAAGCAGGCACCAGCACAAGCGTGGGAGCACATCCCTCTGGGAGGCAGCATTTACACCCCGCTCTGCCCTGGATGCTGGGGCTTCCTTCAGCCTGCAGGGAGGAGACGTGGGTTGGGACCAGCCAAGCAGAGGGGAACGGTGCCCTGGGCAGGACAACCTCAGGCTGCTGTGCCCAGGCATGACGACAACCCCTTTTCAGACTCCCACAGGGCTCTGGCCTTCCATCCTTGCTGAATCTCAGCCCAGCATCTCCCCCTGCCAACATTATCCACCAACATGCTGTGCTAAAGCCCAGGATCAGAGCCCCTCTCCAAAACCAGAGCAGCTGCCTTCCCTCTCTGCTAAATACCTGGCTCCTCTGCCTGGCCTGTGATCTCTTCCAGCTGCTGTGGCCAAATTGCCCAGGCCAGCAGTCCCTCCATTAACCCCTTCAGCCCGCTGCCTGGTGCTCTGCAGGTTCCCATGGCAAACATCATCAGCTCTGCAGAGGGTTTCAGCTTCCTCATCCTCGAGAAACAAAGCTGGTCATTCCCGCAGAAGTTTTATGCTGTTTTAATGAGAGCTGTTGGCTGCTCAGTTTCTGCCAAGGTTGTAGGTCTCTGTGGTCAGGATGCGGCCCATCTCGCTAAGGCTACCAGCCTTTCCACTCTGGAGGGGCTTGTGGGGGCTGAAAAGCATTTTCACTGCAACTGGCCCTGGGTTTCCAGATACCACTTTCCAGAGCAATCAGGTCTCTTAGAAAATTAATTGATCTGCTCTTACTAGATCACCTACCTCACCTCCCCAGCTGCTGGTTCTCATGTTCAGGTTTCCCAGAGCCCAGGCAGGGCTGCTGCCCTGTCCCCCTGACACAGGGAAGAAATCCAGGGCTCATCTCCAATGACAGCTTCTCACCTGTGAGATTTGCTTCCCAGGGGAAAGGATGTTACAAATGGATGAACCCCAGAGGGCACAGGTGCTCTGTAACTCACCCAGACATCTACCATAAACTTTTAGACTCGATAACTTGGAAATTCAGATTATAAATGTGCTGCAGTGATGAGCCAGAAAGAGCATAAAAACTTCCAGCTGAAAAGGGGTATGAAATGGCTCAGAAATGCTGGCACTTCAAATTAATTTTTTTCATTGAAAAAAGTGAAAAGATGAGCATTACCCACATGCCCTGGTCCCTGGCGTGATGCTCACACCCTCTGGTGCCACAGGCCACCCACGAGCATCACGCCAGGGACCAGGGCATGTAGCATCCCATGGGATCTGCTCGGGAAGGAAGTAGGGGCCATGCCTACTTCAGATTTTCATCTTCAGCAAGATGGCAAATCTTACATATGTGTGAACATGCATGAATCAAAACAGAAGTGCCTGCCCAGCCGCTGGGAAGTGACACCACGGTGACTCATGTAATTCTGTTTAAAACAATCCTCCCCCTCACCTTCTCCCCTCCATAGGATGCACCTTGGAGGCTTTCAGCACAGAGCCCAGTGAGCTTATCCTCCTCTTCTACCTCCTTACACCACTTTTGGAGTGTCTCATGTGACCATGGAGTTTCTGAGGTGACCTCTCCTACCACTGAGCTCTGCCAAAGCACTTTTGCAGCTCACTCCAAGTACAACAAGCAGCTTTCTTTTCCTGGCTTTTTTTTTTATTATCTTTTTTTTTTTTTTTTTACACTCCATAAAAACCACTGCAGGTCTTCTTTCACATTCACGAGATCTCCTGGAAATTATTGCCATTTCCCATACATAATACATATTAAAAAAAAAAGAAAAGGTCAACAGACAAAGAGCCGCTCGTTCTGAACTCCCTGCAGACACAGAAGCCAATGCAAGTGAGAGGGAAATCAGTTTTTGCGGACAAAGGCTGGCTAGAGGTGACCACATGCACTAAGCAAGCCACGTAACACTGAACGAGACCACTTGACCACACACATCGGAAACACTTGGGAAGGGATGGAGGAAGAGATGGCTTGGAGCTGAGCTTGTCAGGTATTTTTGGTGTAAAATCCAGCAGTTACAGTGTTATCTGATGGGAAGTAACTCAGATGAGGATTGTGGAGACGTTCAAGTATTCTAGGGCTGTTCTTAAATAACAGATGGGAGGATAATAGCTCAGCAGGGTAGCCTGATAGCTTCGGTTAAGTCCCCTGCTTTAGTTAAAAGCACATCCAGTACAAAGGCAAACGCAGAAGTACAGGAAATACCACACCTGAATGGATCCACGGTCTGGTTTGGTATCCAGTTACACTGTGGTCAATACCTGACACTTCAGAGGCCGGAGCAGGAGAGGGGATTTTCACCTGGTTGTGCAACAGTGTCCTGGGAAAGGAGCCTCCTCCTGCCACCCCAGCCCATTGCTCCCTGAAACATGACACAGGAGAGGGGAGGAGGAAAGCTGGAGAAAAAGCAGAACGAATATTCACTCCCACCACCTCTGCGTTGCAAAGGTGGTGCTTTTCATTTTGCTTTCTTCCCCGCTGCTGCTGTTTATTGCTTGAAACTTTAAATAAGGGTCTTTTCAAAAATAAGAAGGGAAGGAGATAGGAACAGAGAACACACTAAATGGATTTCTCATTGCTCCCCAGGAATCTGGAAATACAGTAGTGGGTGCACACTCTGTGGATAAAAACCTAAAAAAGCACTTTTTCATTTTTTTAAAAAAAGGACAATGAAAGTTCAGAAAACCTGCCACACTTAAAGCACTTGCATCTTACAGTCACAGCATATGGGAAGTATGACCCACGACAACCACTCCATCTCAGACTAAGTCAATGAGGTTTCTCTATTGCACGTTCATGAAATGTTCTTGTTGGGGTCACAGTTCGGATCAGAGGACCACACCAGCTCTGGTCTCCCCAGGGTGTTCAATTCATCGGGCTGAGTTTCAGCTGGTGGACGGGAGAGTGGATGGGCACAGAACTCAACACTGAGGTAGGAAAGGCAAAACACGAGCCTTCAAAGTTTTTGCCTAACGTCAGTTCTTCTGCAAAGAAAGACGCAGCTTCTCTTTTGCATGAGGCAACGGGGGGGCTGGGAGTGGAAGACAAGATCTCTGACTCGTATTGTAGCAACTGGCCCATGAAACCAAAGTTTGGTGAGATCAGGCTCCGGCGCTGCTTGATGTAATCGAAGGCTTCCTCCAGGCGGAACTTCTTCGTCTTCATGAGATATGCCATGCAGATGGTGGGAGAGCGTGAAATCCCCGCCTCACAGTGCACCAGGATCTTGCCCCCCGTTCGTTTGATGTAATCTAGGGGAAAGAAAGTCATTGCAGACGTCAGTTGTCATTCGGGATGGAGAGGACACTGCGACATGCACCCAGCGCTGGAGGTGGAGCATGGCACACAGCCAGTCCACCAGCAAGGAGAGGCTTGCTCTTCTGTTGGGTACTAAGAGTAACGTAGAGATTAAAAGGGAAGGGGGACAAAACTCAGCCCAAGATGGAGCTGAGCTGCAGATGACACTTGGTTTCAGAATCTGTGGATCCTGATTTGGTTCCTTCCGCATTTTTTAGGAAAGTCCTTCCCTGTCTCCTTCCCACATGCCTATTTCTCTTTTGGAACAACTGACTTCGCAGAGCATGGTGAGACAGAGATCAGGTATCTGGGCAATGCTTGTGTTCACTGTATCTGCATTTCTCCGCCGTACCTGCATTTCTCTGCCTGCGGCTCGAAGTACTGACCCAAGCCCAGCCTCAGGTCTTTCAGAAGCTGCAGGGCTACCTTCCTCTCATCAGCTTTGCTAGAAAAACAGGACTTTTCTTTAAAGTCCAAACCTAACTCCCTGCTTGGCCAGTTAGCAGCAAACAGCAATACCAGGAGCTGAGCCCTTGGTGGGTACCCTTGGGTGGAGAGACTGAGCTCACTCTCTGGGGCCTCACCACAAAGCACACAAGGACGGGTAGGCAGTTGCTAATTACAGCCCGGTTAAAGGATGCTTGGACTTAAGTCAGGATATAAAAGGCTTATGCAAAGCACCCATTTTACACAACAGGAGCCACTGTGGTTACTCACACAACACAATGATTGTTATTAGATTAAAGAGAATGTGCTTAAAATAAGCCCTTTCCATACAAAAATACAGTTCAAAAATAGATGTTCTCTGCTCTATTGCTTTGAGCAATATGTTCAAGCTCCAATTTATGGATAACTGTGCTGAGTGTAGTGCTCAGTGAAACAACACAGGGCTGAGCAAGTTATCATTTGCCTGTCTTCGATTGTCTGCCAGGGGACTGGTGCCACCACGACTGGTTATATTTAACTACTGCACAAAATAAGGAAGACATGGATTTGAGTCATCCCCAGCACCTACACCACATGCCCAATTTTAAAAGAAAGTGAAAACTAAAGTAATCCTCAAAATCTGGGAAATTTCCAAGTGACTCAACAACTATCAGAAGGGGCTGGGGGTGGGACAGAAGAGTGCTGTGAATTAGCATTTCCCTGAAAGGTGTGAGAAGTCCCTTACCAGGAAGGGGAAGGGCTCAGAGGGCACCCTCAGATCAGGTTTTTGTAATTCTGCCTGCATCGACGAAGGAATCAAACTCAGCTGAGCAATGAGTCCAGCGAGTCTGTAACTGGGGTTTTATTCTGTCTCTCTCTCAAATGTCCCTGGAGAGCAACAGCACCGATTTCAACACCAGATCTCCACCCAGGCTCAGGCTGCTCCACCCCACTAAGCCACCCTGTGCCTCTTGAGGAGGACCGTCTCCCTTGTGCTACCTGGCACAGCTCGTGAGCCACTCACCTACCCAGCCACTCACCTACCCAGCCACTCACCTACCCAGCCTAGCATAGGAAGATTTGGGAGGGGATGGCCCTAAGTTTTCTAAAGACCTCCTCATTTTTTTGCATTGGGGTATTTGATTAAAGGGTGAGATACCAGCATGATCAAAAGGAGAAGTGGCAAGTGCTCTGTGATAAGGGGAGACACTGGATTTCTAAGACCTCGGCTTTGGGATCTCTCAGCACAGCAAGGCAATAAGCTGACCCTGCTTCACCTGGCTTTTACAGGGTCTGGCATGCAAGTCCAAGGAACCAATACGGTTTTTCCCTTTACAAAAATCCATAGACTTTGGTGTTATTCAACCATACTTCTTTGCTCCCTGTCATGCTGAAGTTACACCTATTGCTTGCTTTGAAAAGAAAATAAAGCTAACCAGCTCACTCGCCTCCTCTGCCTGATGGCAGTCAAGAGGAGGCATTTTCCTTCCTCGGCCTCCCAGCCTGGAGAGGAGGACAAAGACCTTGCTCTGAATGTCCCTCTTCCTTCCTTCCTCGTGAAAATCCCTTTGCCAGGAGACATGCTGGGGAAGGGAGGGAGCTTAAACTTTTGCTGTGACATCTGGAAACATACAGGAAATAATGTGTCCTCCCCACCAATATGTATTTTAAAATAAATGAATTTAAAAACACATGAAGATCTGGAAATTTGTTAATTTGGACCTACCGATGAAGTCGATGGCTTCCTGGAAGTGTGAGCTAATGTCCGCTGTGTGACTGTCCTCCACCGGGATCCACTTGTAGCAATACTGGTCTTTGAAGGACTCCGAGCTTTTCCTGGAGACGTTGAGCAGGGCTGTGATGTGCAGGTTGGCGAGAAACTCGCACTTGGAAGCGTGATAGGCACTACCAAGGTAGAGAAAAGGCAGGATTTCGACTGGACCGCCCTGGAAGAGAAGGAGCAGAAACATGTAATTCCTTTTCAAGGGTATTTGAGTCCTGATACTCGAGAGAGAGGCAAGGGAGCCTGCATGGGTGCCCGCTCCCTCCCTCGCTGGCGTTTTTGGACCCCAGTGCTGCCGGCCAGTGAATCACTGCGATGGCAAAGCCCACGCAGGAGAAAGGTTTTCATTTTCTTGTCCACATCTGCGAGGTACAAAGTCAGATCCAGCCCACTCATGTGCAGAATGTTTCTGGCTTTCTTTGAAGCGCTGCCGCTCGGGACGCACCCGAAGCGCTTTCATATGTGAGGCCCGTTCCCTCTGAGGCTTTACCAAAATACGGGC